CCCTTTCTTTTTATTATAAAACGGATAATTTTACTGGCCCTCAGAAAAGCCAAATGAAATCCTAATTCCCATCCTCTCAAAACATTACCTGGAAAGAAGAACAAAAGAAAAGACGAGCGTCTGATGCAGGCAGGCTTCGGTGTTTGCCAACAAAAGCTCCACTGCGGTAGTGCGCAGGATAGGCACCCTGTGGCTCCGTATCCCTGCCGTTCGTTTTGGTAAGTAGTGGTGGTGGTGGTGGTGGTGGATGGGCCAGTCAACTTCGACCGCTGCTATTTCAGGCCGCCGAGACGTTAGCTTGAGCCATCGATCGAAGTCTAAATCAACGACTCTGATTTCGACTATGCACGATGATGAAGCAGAGGAGCCTAATGGAAGTTTCGATGGATTATCTGATTATATATCTGATTTGCCTGACGAGTGCTTGGCTTGCATTTTCCAGTCTCTCAGCACGACTGACCGGAAGCGATGCTCTCTTGTTTGTCGGCGATGGTTGATGATCGAGGGACAGAGCCGCCACCGGCTCTCGCTCAACGCCCAGTCAGATCTGCTTGGTGTGATCCCTTCTCTCTTCTCTCGATTTGATGCAGTGACTAAACTTGCGTTGAGATGTGACCGTAGATCTGTGAGTATTGGCGACGAGGCCCTTGTTCTCATCTCTCAACGCTGCCGCAACTTGACTCGGCTTAAGCTCCGAGCTTGCCGCGACTTGACCGATGCAGGCATGGCTGCTTTCGCTAAAAACTGCAAGGCCTTGAAGAAACTCTCCTGTGGATCTTGTGCTTTTGGAGTCAAAGGCATGAACGCGGTTCTTGATAACTGCCCTGCTCTAGAGGAGCTCTCTGTCAAACGGCTCCGCGGTATGACCGACGGAGCTGCGGCTGAACCTATAGGGCCTGGCGTGGCGGCTGTCTCACTCCAAAGGATTTGCCTGAAGGAGCTTTACAACGGACAGTGCTTTGGTCCTCTTATTATTGGTGCGAAGAATCTGAGGACCTTGAAGCTTTTTAGGTGCACCGGTGACTGGGATAAGCTTCTCCAAGTGATAGCTGATCGGGTCACGGGCATGGTGGAGATCCATCTGGAACGAGTCCAGGTCAGTGACGTCGGTCTTGCGGCCATCTCTAGCTGTTTGAATCTGGAGATTCTACATCTTGTGAAGACGCCCGAGTGCACCAACGCGGGGCTCAAGTATGTCGCCGAGCGGTGTAAATTGTTAAGGAAGCTTCACGTCGATGGATGGAAAGCAAACCGGATAGGGGACGAAGGATTGATTGCCATCGCCAAATGTTGCTCTAATTTGCAAGAATTGGTCCTCATCAGTGTGAATCCTACGAAATTGAGCTTGGAAATGTTGGCCTCTAATTGTCGGAATCTGGAGCGATTAGCATTGTGTGGTAGTGACACTGTTGGTGATGTTGAGATTTCGTGTATTGCTGGCAAATGTATAGCTCTAAAGAAGCTCTGTATAAAGAGTTGCCCAATTTCTGATCAGGGAATGGAAGCTCTTGCAAGTGGTTGCCCTAATTTGGTCAAAGTGAAGGTGAAGAAGTGCAGAGGAGTGACTTCAGAAGGTGCGGATTGGTTAAGAGCAAATAGGGAGTCTCTTGCGGTAAATCTGGATACTGGTGAACCAGAGCATCAAGATGCCAGTGCCAGTGATGGAGGGGCGCAAGATAATGGTGTTGAATTTCCTGCACTTGCTAATCAAGTGGGTGCTGCAAGCATTGCATCCAGTAGCAATGGTCGATCAACCTCTTTTAAATCGAGATTAGGACTTCTGAGTGGTAGAGGTTTTGTGGCTTGCACTTTGAGGAGGTTGTCAAGTGGCAATGGCAGATAAGTAAGAAAGTCGCAAAGCAAAAGAAACTCTTGGTCTTGGTCCAGCACTATTTTCATTATTTTATGTTGCATTTGTGGCATCTGATTCTGTTTTCTTGTGTTCAATTGAATGTTGTGTGCTGTTGATTGCCTTTTGAATTGAATCTTCACTGCAAAAAGCGGGTTCATTTGTATTTTGTGTTTAGTTTCTGTTTCTTTATTCAGCAAGCTGTCTTTCTTTCCTTTTTATACATGGAACATCTTAATGGAATTTGAGAGAATGATACCTTGGTAAATTTAGTTTAAATTCTTGAAATATTGGCTCCTGATTTTTTTCTGTTCTCTCACTGATATGAGGATAGGGGTATTTATGGTACCATATCAAGGAAATATGCATTAACATGGTGTGTATGGTATTGATTAAGTTTTCCATTTTTGGTGTATTTGTTACTCACTCTATAGATGCCTATCAGGTCTAGCCATAGTAATTGAGGAGGCAGTGATCTATATGTTGCCATTCTTGATGGAGAGGTTTTGTATGTAAGAAATTTTGATTCACCCATTCACCTAAGAGTCTCAGAGCCATGCACTTTACAACTTCTAGCACCAATCTTGGAGAATCTACTTGATCATGTTAATGGGGAGACATGCACCCACATAGAGCATCTAGGCTGGAAATATTGTGTCCATTATTAGTACTTGGTAAAACTATTATAGCTGTGCTAATATCGGGTTGTGGCCTTGAAAAGATATTTCAACTTCTTGGTCGCCATATGCTCAATGCTTCATATCATTGTCTTTCCATGTGGTTAGTAATTACAGCTGACCAGAAAACATTACCCATCTTTTGGCACTGAAGACTTTGTTGGGCCATTTCATCTGGACTCACTTCACAAGCAAGGTATGTCAAGAAACACTGATCACACACTTTTCTGCTTCCGCACAACTGATTAACTCTTCTTTTAGGTATGTAACTGCAGTTCAAATTCATCAAGTTGGAGGGCTAGAATTTTGGGCATCATCTGGTTCATTAGCTCCTTCTTAACTCAGAGCAGGTTAGCTACAAGTTTGTTTGTGTTTTTAAATTTTAAATGACTAGCTACTTGTCAGTTGGTTAACTTATTTCCTGCTGTTGTCGTTGTGTTAATCGTCAACTTATTTCTGTGTTTGTTGTTCAATTGTTAGTGTTATATTTCTAAATGCGATTGGTGTGTTAATCTAGAATACCAGCATGCAGTTAGTCTGGTTTCTTCTAGAATCTTTTTGTTAATCCAGGTTGCCCCGTGAGCTGGATGAAAGCATGGTGAAAACTTAACATCATATTCTTCTGATAAAAACACAATATTATGCCATCCTAGATTATCTCAATTGTTATGCTTTGTTGATCAATATTATCTCCTGTAGAAGGAAAACCAAAAAACGCGCAATAGTATCTATTCTCTGCTTCACGCATCCACCATTCACCATAATTTTTAGTTTTATTTTTATTTTTATTTTGAGATGATAAGGGACAGGCGAACATTTTCTTCCCATTGAAAGTGAAAGTTGAGGCAGGGAACAAGAAGTTTGAGAAGTTGAATTTGGACTATTTCCACGTAGTTTTTCTGAATTTGAGTGTGATAATTCATGAAATCATTATCTTTTTTTCTTTTAATCACATAATTCATATTTTAATGACTCTGCCTCTCATCTTCCTTGCCCCCCTCGATTCTTACTTTATTCTGAACTAAGTCTAGTTCAATGATCACGAGCCACTTGCTCTGTAGTCTGCACCCTCCCAACCAAGCCAAGATGGATCAAAAGGATCTTAAACAAAGTGATTTTAATTTATATTTTGGTATGTCTGCAGTTGCAGGGATCATCTCGGTTCATCGCCAGTTCCGGCCGTAAGATTTTGGCGATGCAATCACCCCCGTATCCCGAAAGAAAAGAAGAACCGTCAGTACAAAGAAAACACTAGATGATAACAAAAAGGAAATACTCCCACTGTCTGCAAGAACAGACTTCTTATCGACCTTCAATTA